TTAGAAATTGAAAAATAAAAAATAACTAGAAGAAAAAAATCAGACGTTTGGAAACATAAAAACTCTCTAATCAGCCCAGCAGTCAGAGAACAAATAAAAATGAGGTCTGCCTAGAAGTGAGTGATGATGACAACACTGCCCTCTCTCCCTGTGGGGTGCAGGCAGGCTTCCAATGCTGTGGGTTCAGACACAAGGCCCAGAACAAGTGGGTCACACACCCAGCTCAAGTCCATAACAGCCCAGATAATACAGAAGGAAGGGAGAGAGGTAATGGGAACTGGTGAAACAGATCAAAGATTAAAGATCTGACTGATAAGACAGATATGAATAAAAGGCAGAAATTTCAACAATCATTACAAACAACTGAAAACAGGTTGGCATGAAAATGCTTTGAAGCTTTTTATGCTTATACACAAATACCTAGAAAATTGCAACTTATATATATATATAAAAAAAAGCTAGGAAACTTAATCAAGTCCAAAAGGAAAAACTTACATTCCCTATAGAGCAAATGCCTACACCAGTGATGGGCTGAAAGAGCTCACTGCTACTCAAGTAAGAGGTGCACAATGGTATATCCAGAAATCAGAAGAGAAGGGGACACTTTCCTCCTGATTCTGGGGTTCCTAACACCCTGAGGCAATAAGCAGAGCAAGATGACAGGAGAGGGGGTACAGTTTATAGCTTATTCTACTGGCAGGCAGAGACGATGGCTCTGGACAACTCTGACAGCCCTGCAGAGTGGGGAAGAGGATGCACTAAGTAGTGAGTAATTCCAGGACCATATGGTTGTGTTAGTGTCACAGAAATCAAATGATGCCACTTGCTAAGTGAGCAAACTGGAGAGGAAAAGCATGTGTCTGGAAGTGCAGCACCCACTCAGGATCCAAAGTCTTTACCACTATGAAGAGAAAACTGAATCTGACAGTGAGAATCTGCCAGAACCTGCAGCAGTGCAGCTACCTGTCCAACCTGTGGCATGTCGAGGCCAAGCGTCACCCCCTGCTTGCACTTGGCCTGCTCCGGGATGGTGCAATCACCACTTGGGCTATGCAGCGACCTTGTCTGGCCACCTCAGTGCCTGCCCTATCTCTCATAGCTAAGACCTGCTCCTTACCAGGTTGACCTCCTGTCCTTTTAGCAGCTTCTCTCCAGGGCCCTGGCTCCACCAATTCAAACCTATGATGCTCCAGGCACTGGCCCTCCTTCTCCACCATGCTGGATACAGATGACCACATCATCCTTGCATGTCCTGTACCCTCTGCCCTGCCTGCAACTGCATTTGCCTATAAAACCCTGGCTCTCTCTGACCCCCAACTTAGTTTTGAGTTCCTGGACTCCACACATGGGCCGACACTTGCTGGAGCAGGGCCATAAGAGTGGACGTGCCACCGTTTATGTGAGGGCAAAAGCCACATGTGCGCCTATGTGGGGGAACCTGCATCTGCTGTGTCCTCAGAGCTCCAACTCATGGGCCAGGACAGGGTGTGGAAATGAGAATGAGCAACCAAGTTGTCACCACCCCCCACCTCTTCCTTTCTTGTAACTTTGTCAGAGAGCAGTGCACCTGCTGGAGTCCACTTGGGCCCTGCTTCAGGGTCACTGCCTTGGTATTCTGCCTTTATGTGAATCCGCTGTTTCCCAAGAAGAAAGCGATGCTTTCAGCTCTTTCTGCTAGTGAACTCCATGACCCCAAGAAGTGTGGAAAAGGACTTTGAGTATAAGGCTCTCAACTATGACCCTCACACAACTGAAGTTGAGTGCAAGTCAAAGAGCATCCCCATGCTGGCATCTCCACTTGGGAGGACTGAAATGCCCATTATTGCCCAGGGTCAGCACAGCAGTCATGGCAACTGTCTATGGCGACAGTAGTGATTGACAATACTTGCAGCCCCTCTGGGCACATGGCTGGCATCAAGAAAGAGGAAAGAGGCCCAAGACCCAGCTCCCCTAACAAGAAGTGAGAAGTGGAAAAGAAAGATTTGGTAGGGATTTAGGTTGGAGAAAACAGTCCTTGTCTGGGGCCTCACACTGCCAAAAGGAGGCCTGTTAGGGTCTGTTCATGGTGACGTGGCCCAAGTCCAACTCTACTGTGTTTCCCAGGATAACTGGGTTTTGCTCACAGTTTGCTTGGCCTCAGAACCCTGTGATCTCCCTTAGCTACCCCATGTGTGCTGTGGCTGCTGTTTGAGAGGGAAGCCCCTGGGAGAGCTGGGGGAAAGGAGGGCAGTGACCATGTAGCAAGGATGCCTGGTTGGCCAGCCATCCTTACATGCAGTGTAGAGAGAGTGCGGTTGGTCCACTTCCTGGCCCAGACTGGCTGGGGTGGGGGAGTCTCATTACTAAAAGGCCTAAAAATACAGCTGGCTGTAAATCAGTCCCTGCTTCAAGGCCGTGGGCCCTGCCCCTAGTGTGGGAGGAAGGAGCAGGTCTGCACACCACCTGTGTCTGACGACAGCCGAGGCCCAAGCCCCTCACGACTCCAGGAAAAGTCACCTTGGGAAGGCAGGCAAGTGGCCTAGCATTTCAGTGGGACCCTGAGGCCTCCGAAAGCTGACAAAGGTGGCCAAGGGTTTCTGGTCACCACCAAGGGACCTGGCTGAGCCCATCCTGGACGAGGACCCTCTGGGAAGGATCTCTGGCCACCAGTGGCTCTCACAGTCCATGACCTCAGATGCCAGGAATGTGTACGTGGTGCAGCAGCCATCTGGTTCCCATTACATACGCTCTGTTGCGGGAAACTTCATCTGTGTCTCCGCTCCCAGCACCCGCCTGGGAGAGATTGATTTGGGCTCATTAGAGACTTCAGCAGCAGGCCAGGAGGTGGGGCACGTCTGTGCCCACGTGTCTGGAAGGCCTGGAAGGGCACACTGAGGGCCTGTGATGAGGACACGTGAGGATACTAAGCTTTGAGGGTCCCAATACCTCTGAGGCCTATACTTCACAAACTGAAACTCTCAAGGGTCCTGGCTGCCTCTGGACTTGCTGTCCAGGGGTCTCAGTATGGAGCAGGAGGAATGCTCTCCTGCTTTGATGTGCACTGCTGAGCCAGGCCATGGCCCAGTGCATCACCACCACACTAACCTCTTCCATTCTGTAGTTCCTGGTTCCCCTTCTGCTTTAAGTTTCAATTCATTGTAATGCCCTTTGTTTTAACTTTTCAATTCGTCAGTACACTATAAGTTCATCTCTATACTGGAACAAGCCCATAAATTTAAGTCTTAAGTTCCAGCAGCTGTTTTCCTGAACAAGCCAGGAGAGAACCAGGCAAATCGGGCCAGGAGGGGCCCTTCTCTGGGGTCCTGGGTGCAGGGAGACCCAGGGGGATTGCATCCTAGGGCTTGAGTCTTCAACTTTGAAAGTCAAGCTAATGAAGTTCCAGCCACGGTAGAATGGAGCACAGGACCCCATCAGGCTTGAGGAGCAGGATGGAGGGGTGCATGAGAGAAGCCCAATTGTGCATGACCAGGTGTGTCACCGAAGAGGCAACATGGAAACCCAGCTCTGACGTGCCCACCATAGTTAAACTTTCACTCCCACCCCTATGCAGGTCCATGACTCCAAGGTCTCAGAGACTGCTCCCCCAGCTGGAAGCACAAGAAGCTCTACCTCCAACCACTAGAGCTAGTGCCACTGGGAGGACGTGACTCTCCTGCCTCATGGACTCCCTGGGGTGACAGAGGACAGACAAACCGAATGACAGGCAGCTGGCTTTATTACAAGTCAGTGGTATACTATCACAGGTTGTCTTCTGGGGCGGGCCTTCCTCCTCCAGGAGTACCTGGTGGGATGCCCCATCTCAGCTAGCACCAGGGTATGGTGAGGCCTGCTGGGCCCTGAAGCAGTCCAGACCCAACTCTACCTGTCCCCACCTCCACCATGTGCCTCAGGAGCTTAGACAGAGCCCCACCCAGAGTCTCTTTCCCTGGTTAGGAGTGCCAGGCTTCTCCATGTAGGGAGGGGCCAAGAGATGTCCTCTTCTTCGGTCTCATGTCTGTGGCAAGAGGGCTGGACCGGCACAACCCTGTCCTCCAGCACTCCAGTGCTGAGAGGCCAGTTGAGCCAGTATCTGGACTTGCTGCTGCTCCTGAGGACAGCTACATCGGGCCATGGAGGGACATGTCTCCACCTGACCTAAGTTCACAGAGTTGGCTTTCTAAGGTGCTTCCATTCACTGGCTGTGGTCCAGTCTCAACTTTCTGAGGCTCCCTGGGCTAAGGAGGACATTTCCTCATCCCCAAAAGACAGCATACACCCTAGGCTACCCCTGGGAGTGACACTTCTTGGCACAGGACACATCTGGTGCCTCAGCCACTATGGCCTGCAGCCCCTCCAGACCTGCACCAGAGTGAGGCTTTGACAGGAGGCTCCCTGACACCAACTCCCTCCCCCCACCCCCAATTCCATCCCTCCTGTCCTAAACAGGGCTTCATAGGCAGGCTGGGTCACCCCCGGTGAGCACAGGCAGAAACCAAGAACCATGCTCACGTGCAGTTCCATAAGCCATGAGGGGCAGAAACATCATTGAAAGGTTTTCAGCAACCCCACTGTACCCCAAGGCCTGCATCCCTCCTGGTGGGCTTCCCCACTGCTTTCCTGGGCCTATGCACAGACTGCCACCTGGCCGTGACTCTGTGCAGAGTCCTTTGTACTGGCTCTTTCTTTTGATTAATCAGTTCCGTACTGACCACATTCCTCTGAGTTTTTGCAAATGGGCTTGTAAACTGCTATACTCTACATGTCTTTTCTTTAGATGGACAAGACGTGACTGTCGTTAACCCAAGGTCTGAAAGAAACCCAAACCATGTGAACGGTTCACAACGCCCACGCCCCCTTCTTCCTGCACTGGGTCCGTGGACAGGCCTGCCTGCACCCCACCTCAGAGTGATTAATTAGTCCGGGATCTGCAACAACTCCTCTTCATGCCTAAATATTGTTTCAGCCTATCAGACTGTTAGTGCAAAGCAGGATAAATGACACCTCGGGTCTGGCTCACTGACCTGCAGGGCCTGCTGCTCATCCAGGCTCCAGACAGCCAACGCCTTCTCGGCGGAGCCTGAGACGCCCCTGGCCTTCCGAGAATCAAAGTCAAGGCTCATAATAGGTTCTGTGTGGCAGGTGACACGGCTGCAGATCTTTCGCTCGGAGATGTCCCACAGAGCCACCGATCCATCCTCATAGCCAACCAGGAGGAAGGGGCGCAGGCTGGAGTTGGCCTGCGGGAAATAGCACAGCAGTTAGCTCCCGAAGGGATCTGGCAAGTTTCAGGGGAGAAGGGACATAAATAGCAGCTCAGTTCTCATGTTCTCCAGAGACTACGCACATCCCTTAATGGCTGGCATCATCCATGGTGCCAGCTTGGGCTGATGCTGGGACACCGTGAGGATGGTGCTTTGGGGCAGAGTCCTGGGGTAGCTCAGAATGGCCCCCTGCTCCTTGCTACACTGTTAAGCTACTTCTCACCAGCCCAGATTCCAGTGGCCCCTCAGGGCACTGCTATCTCCTCCAGTTTCCTTTCCATAGGCCGAAGACTTGAGGTAACCCTTGGTGGGGCTGGTCACCTGTCTAAAACCGCCAGCTGAGGAAAATCTCAAACTCCATCTCAGTGAAAAATGAACTTTCTGTGCTTTGTCAACGTTGCTGCGGAAGCCTTCCCCTTTCCCCTGGCCTGGCGAGCTGCAGCGGCGCTGACTGGTGTGTGCCGAGCTCTCAGCCTTGAGCTATGGTGATGAATGAGGGCAGAGGTCAGAGGGCACAGCACCCTGGGCAGACACCTCGTTTATCTCGCCTCTGCAACAATCCCAGAGGAGCACTGCAGGATCCCACATCATCCTGGCACCAGGAGCATGGCCAAGGCTCAATGCCCAATCTCCAGGCACATCAACAGAGAGCATTTCCCTACAGAACAAAGAGGGATGCCTTTTGCTCTTTACTCGTCTCTGCCTTCCCCGCTGAGCTGCTTGGGGTCAGCATTACTTATGTGTCAGAAATAACAGAGCATAGCTCCTTCTCCAGAGAATGTTCCAAGTCAGGAGTTCAACAGACCCTCGGTGAGCTGCAGCCAGTCCTCTGTCCTGCCTGGGACTGACCCTTAAGACTCTGCTTGGGTGATGGTGGGGTCTGGGCCTGAAAGGCAAGTACAAGGCTGTCTGTTGGGTCACTATGAATCTAAGAATGTTGACTGATATCTGTCTGAGAATGGTTATGAGCAGAGTCTGGCCTGGCCTCACTAAACATAGACTGACAGCACCATAGGCGCTTCCCACCTGCCTGCAGGAGCTCACATTAGTGTGATGTGTAGGTGCTTTTGTCTGCTCAGAGGGGCTCCAGGTCTAGAAGCTCACATACTGCACAATATCTCTCCAGGTGGCTGAAATAGACACCAGTGCCAGCGTTTTATTTTATTTTCAGGGCCAATGTTTTAATTCCAGTGGACACTGCACCTCAAACAACACAAGTAAGCAAGGCTTTATTATAGTGTCAGAGAGGGAAACTGAGGTGATGGGTGTGGTGTATGTCATCAGGCTCCAGTTAGTGACAGGAGCTCGGGGATCTGACACAGACCAGTACTTTGATCAGGAGGGTATAGCTGGTTGTGCCAGTAACAGGCAGGACACAGCCACTGTAAGCTGCAGTCACAGCATGTCCCCGAGGCCAGAGCTGGTCCTGAGGATGCCTCCCACATATCCCCAGAAATAGCTCCTACAACCATTTTTTTCTAATGATCATGTGTTCACACAAATGAAAAGAAAAAAATATCTAAGGGAGGCTACTAGGAAGAGGCTGGGGCAGCCTGTGGCCATTCTCCAGGTGGAATACCCCAGTGGCCTGAGGGGTGAGCAGTTAGGACAGCGGTCCTGTGGGTGAGACTCCCTAAGGCTGCTTGGGTGAGCTTTCCCTGCTGTTTCATAACAGGGAAGAGCTTCATTTTGGCATCTTTCAGATCACCTGATTGAAAACTATTTGTATAGAGATTTCACCTTCCTCCAAAGTTATACAGCATGTTTAAGAAATGATCAGGCCCTATAGTTTAGGTAGCTCCTTCCAAGCAGTCACACCTCTTCACGAGGCCTCCCCTGAAACTATATCTGGACTCAAGGCAGAGTGAGGGCCAGATAATAACAGCCTGGAAAGCTCTGCCTGTGCTCTGACCAGGAATGCGTGCCACCCCCAGAGATGAGAACCCACCCCCAAGGCTAGTGAGAGGACTTCATCTAGATCCACTGGCGTCCATTCCCCTTACAGCACAACTGTCAGGTTACCTGGATCCCACTCATGGTCTTGGCAGAACCTGCCTCTGCCTCTTTGGTCCCCTGGGGCCCTTCCTCCAGACTTGGGGTTCTTCCCATCACTAATGTGCTGGTTCTGGCCTGTCCCATAGCCTGTGGTCTCTGGGTTCTGAGCATCTGAGTTTGTTCAGGGGCTACCCAGTACTGGTCTGCCTGTCCATGTGCCACGAGGTGGCCAGAGCTGGGGCCTGTCGGGGCTCATCCCTCAGATACCAAGGGGGCCTGAATACTTAAGGCCAGACCTTACCAGCTGCTGCTCCTGTCTGTTCTGTGTCCCCTCCAGCTTCTCACCCCCATGACCCCAGGAACATATACCATAGGCAGGGTTCACACTCCGTGGCAGTCCAGGCCTTTGGTAGTCATGCCCTTGATGCCAGTTCAATCTCCACAGGGCGAGGACACCTCTGTGTCCCCTTTTATCTCTAGGCATGCCAGACTGACAAGATTTCCAATGGGTAGCCCCCTCACCCCGCAATTTTCAATGTCCTGTGGGGTGCCTCCAACTTGGATGGGGCCTACTGTAGGGGCCCAGGACTACAGCCTTCTCTGAGAGTGGGTGGAATGACCACATAATTCTGCCCCTCACCTGTTATGTGACAATACAGTAGCAACACAGGTTGGCTACTTTGAGAAACAAATCAAGAAAATGTCTGAATGTTTCAGAAAAAAATACCCTAACAGTCACTATGCCACACTCAGAATAATAAGTTATAACCTGGACCTTCAGACTTGGGGAGAATAAAAGGGACCTTTCAAATTTATGCACACTTTTTAAACAGAACATTTTGTGTTGGATCTGTATCAACTAACAAAAACGTGATTTGTCCTTCTGTCAACTATATTAATTACCTTAACAAGTTTGTACATCCCATTTCTACACATTTTTCTGCTGGAATTTTTATATGATTATGCAATGACAGTGTTTCCAGGGAGTGGAGTAAGAGCGGATACAGGCACCGACGTCCTGCCCCAGGACCTGCGAGCACCACGCCAGCCCCTGCAACCACAAGGCCCTAGGGGGTGTTCCCTACCCAGTGCCCCACCACAAATCTGCTGCTGTCAGGAGCTTTGTAAGAGATGCAGTGGAGTCTCTCAGCGTCCCCACCTCCTTCACTCCCATGGAATTCTCTCTGACAAGGCTGCAGTAGCAGGACACTATGACATCAGCTTCCCAGAGCTCCCAAATCCCAACTGGAATATTCTCAGGAGAAAATCAGCTGCACGAGCAGGGAACCTGGGATGCCTGCCCTTGTGATCCTGGTGGTCATACAGTCATCTACAAATTCCCTAAGTCTGTCTGTCTGGTCTAACTTATACGACTTCAAAGAGGAGTAAGACAGAACCCGCCTCTTCCTGGTATCACCTGAGCCCCCAGAACAATTGGAAATACTGAATTGAACAGTGTTCAATGCTGTTCAGGTGTTGTCCAGTAACTTGCTCCCATGGTTTCCACAGGGCAACTCTTCCTGTGACTCTTTCCATGTGAACATACTAATTTGCTCTGCTACCTTGAACATACTCTTTGCCAGAGCTGACCTCTGGGGGACCATGGCATCTGGTAGAGGCAGCAGGCCCAGGAGGATCCCTCCCTGGTCCTGGAGCTAAAACCTATTCTGCTGGGACTCAGACTCTGCATCTGGTGCCAGCCCCAGGACTCCTCCTGACCCTCTAGTCAGAGACAGTCAAAAAGGCTGGCTGTGGATCAGAAATTCTAAGTGTGACCACAAGGAAATTCAGAATGTTAAGTCCACTTTTGCCTCTATGGGGCAAAGGAGTAACAAAAATTAATCCCAAGCAAAGCAGAGGCAGTACAGGCTTGCACGGTTAGTCAGCAATCCCTCCCGGCCCAGAGTGGGGCCACGGGTCTGAGCGCAGAGAGGAGGTGCACCAGTTCTCCCTGGAGGGGGCCGGCTCAGCTGACTCAGCTGTCCCTCCTCAACACATGGTGGGGAGTCTCTCTGAAGCCCTCGGGGGACAGCACAAGCCAAGTCTGCCCTGGGCAAGTCTGCAGGAGCTTCATGACAGAAAGCAGGGTGGCTGTGACAGGCTGGGGACACAGGGATGAAGAAAACCACGTGCAAAAGTTCTCCAAAGGGGCTAATTGCCCATTGGTTTCATGATAAACTGAATACTGAATGGGGCATGATTCACAACCCAACAGGCGTGGCTGGCAGGGCGTGGTTGGCGTGTGCTGGGCCTTACCTGCCACAGCTCCAGGCACATGGGCATGCCTGGCTTGGCATCTGCCTCCGGCTTCAGGGTGCACACTGACGTTTTGGATGGCATCTCCAGAATCTGAACCTGACAGTAAGAAAACAAGTTGATTTGGGCTGGCGCCAAGTTGAGTCTGTGCTATACAAACAAGAGACTTTTAAGGCGATTAACCAAGGCTGCTGCGAGTTTCTGTCTGCTCCCTGGAGGAACCTGGGAGCTGAGCCTCCTAATTAGGCCGCACAGGCTCATGGGTTTAGGCACTGCAGAGTCCTTGTGAAATGCACACGCCATTCCTGAGTGACCAACATGTCCCTCCGTTCAGTATTACTGCCTGGAGGCTGCCTCCAACCTTTTCCAATTTTACCTTCCCTAGGTAGGAGGTCCAGCTTGTCGTGCACTGCCTCAGCTCGCCACTCTCACCTTGGCCTCTTCTTTCCTGCGATGGCATTTACATGGACAACTGTCCACTATCTCAGATGTATCAAATGGCACAAAGACTTGCATGAGGAACACCTGGGGACTCACCACCAAGCCTAGGAAATGAGTATGATGTGCACCACAGGAAGTTCTGAACTCTAGCTATTCTCACACCCTTTACGAGGTGTCATAGCTCTAGTTCATATCAGCTAAATGCAAATGCAGACTCTCCGGTGTCTAGGATGGGAGAAGTGCCTGGTTGGCCCACACGGTCTACCTCACACTGGCACTGGGAACTGCCTACAGGGGATGGTTAAGGCCTCAAGGAGCAGGATGGGTGCTACAGACCAGAATGTGCCCCCAGTCGTCCACACCCTCGGGCACCTAAGCTCTCATACCCCAGGCAGAGACAAGAGTGGCCCCTCATACCAGTCAGAAGAGTGAAGGGCTCTTGCCAGACATGCTGTGGTGCAGCCCATAGTCTGGTCTTCTGTTGGTAGTGGATCTACCACTTTTTGGTAGTGAGGTGTGGCTGGTTCTATGCTCCCCAAGGTGTCACTGAGAGCAGTTCTACTGAGGACATCACAACGATGATGTGCAGCCACCACAGCCTCACATGTCACCCTCACCAACAGGGGGGCATCCTCTGGATTACAGATGAGGAGTATGAGATCCAGAGGGATTGGGGCATCAAGAGGACAGAATATAAGCCTGCTCATCTGCTTTCTGACAGCCAGAATACAGAACTCTCAGCAAGGAGAAACCTGGGCGAACGAGAAGCATGTGGGTGTAGGTGCTCAGCTCTCATTAACCCACACGGGAGACCCACCCAAGGCTTGGAGTTAAATTCTGGGTCTGAATTCTAGAAGTGCCTCATGAGTGCTGTGGCCATGTTCAAGGCAATGCAGGCAACTCAGGAAGTCAGTAGCAGGGCTTGGCCCCCTAAGCTACAGGGTGCTGAACACACCTACCTCTGCACTTGGGCGGGCCCTCCCCAACTGGGGCCTGCTGTGCTCTGGGCAGGGCTCTCACCAGAAGACATCCCAGCTGCAGGGAGAAGGCTGGACGTGATCCTGAATAGGTGTTAGGTAGCCAACTTGGTGTGGGGGGGGGGGTGCTGGAGGGAGGTGGGCAGGTAACCTGCCTTAGAGTCCACGTGTATTCTATGAGGGCACAGTATATAAAAGGGCACAGCCCAGACTACAGGAGCAGGATACTTGATCTCCTACTTTCTGTACTCCTCTATTGCCAGATTTCCTACAATGAGATTACTTTGCTCATGTCACCCAGTTTCCAGATGTTGATTGGGAGTGGGAGAAGTAGGCATTGAGGGGTAAAGGTGGGGGACAGATGCTGGAAGAAGTAGACACACAGTGTGCACCCTGGACAGCCATACACACAGGCCCAAAGTCAGTGAAGGCTGGCCACCCCAATCTTTGGGTAACTGAAGACCCTTCATGTAGAGTGAGCAGGAGCTGAGAGCAAGGTGTAAGTTTGCTCTGATGGGGGTTGACGATGAAACCAAGGCAGTTCTGATGCTTGAGCTCACTGCTATAGCACCCAGAAGCATGTCCAGGGTTCAGGGGAGAAAGAGAGCACCTCCCAGAAAGTGCTCTGTGCTCTAGTAGGAGCCTGGAGCCCAAGTTCAGAGCCTCCTACAGATAATGCTGTACTTTCCATCTGGCACTCAACTGCAACTTTTGTTTCCAAAAGGAAAAATGTTAGGTTTGGGCAAGTGTGGCCACCCAGACGGCCGAGCAGGGTGGGGGCATGTATTCCCCAGAAATTGTCTGGGCACAGGCCAGCGAGGCTTTTCCAGGACCTAGTCCAGGCAGATTCTAGGTAAGAACATGGAAAACCACCACTTTCCCAGCATGCGCAAGATCCCCACACTGACTGCTCCTGAACAACATAGATGTTGCATGGACCCGGAGAACTGGGAGTCGGGGAGTCAGTTAACTGCCTCAGGCAGAACTGGAGTGGCCTTGGTCACGCCCGGGGTTAGGGAGGCACATGCACCAGGAAGGAGAGCACCCTCACCACAGTGGGCTCACCCCTGGCGGTCTCCATGGTATGCAGCACAGGGAATGCTTGGCACTGCCCAGCTCCTGCTGTCCCGGACCGGAGGAAGCACACCGCTCTTTCTTTTCACATTAATAAAACTTTTAACAGGTTTTTGGCAAATCAGCAAGAAAAGTGTATGTAGCTCCTAATTGGTGATTTAAATGCAATCATGAACAAATAAATGCCTGTTCCTATCTCATTATTTATGAACTGAATCTGCTTTAAGACAAATGACTCTTCTTGGGCAGAGGCCAAACCTCACCGTGTGTACAAGGCCTGCAGTCCCTGCCCAGAGCAGCTTGCTGCACAGGCTCCCAGGCCAGCAGGGGATCCAGAGAACATGGGCCTGGGTGGCAGACTGGAGGCTCCCTCCCTAGCCCCACACTACTGCCTGGTTTTGAGGCAGCTGTACTCCCACACTGACCAGACCCTTAAACAGACACTCATGGGTTCTTCTATTGCTCTTCAGCTTGTTCAAGAGCGGGCATCTCTAGCAACACCTTCCTCCTCTCCTATACCCAACCTCGTTTTCTACCCAGGTCTTCTCTGATTCCTGGGCACTGCCTCCTTTGCTGGGCTCTTCCTCCTGGGGTGTAGATACCACTATCTAGCCCGACCTGTGTCCAGCCAACAACCATCTGTGGTGACCATCTAACCTGAGCGCCAAGAGTGACCTCAGCTTGGTCCTGCCCCACTATTCCACCTGAAGCCCTGACCACTAATGCACCCTGTTTACCTATGCCGCTCAGGACTGTGGTCACCACACCAGGGTCAGCCCTTACCCACCCATGCCTCAGCCCCACTTGGAGACTCTCATGCCCCAGCCACTGTACCCTGCTGCCCTGGCTTGGAAGCCCACCTCCACCAGAGCCTCGGTCACTTCCCCACCATGTGTACTGGCCTGCCTGGAACTTCCTTCCATGTGTGCTCACCCCCAAGTCCTCTAAGAACATCCTGAAGTCTCCCCACAATGCTCCTGATGGTGCCAAACAATATTCCGGCTATCAGTGTCCCAGAGATGCCAACTCTTGCCCCTGTGCTTCCCTTCCTGACTCCCACCACCCTGGCCACCTCACATGTCCTGTGGCCCTGAGAGCTATGATTCTGCAGGCAGAGCCAGCATGCCCTGTAGCTCTGTGGGGCCTTCTGCAGGGCACAGCATACCTTTAAGGGAAGCCAAGTACCCAGCAAGTAGCTTATGGAATGAGGGGCTGGGGAAAGCTGCTGCTTACCTCATCGGTGCCTTTCCCTGGCACAGCCAATGTCCAGCGCTGCTGGTCCTCAGCCAGGATGGAGCCCCTGCAGAAGCCCATGTTCTCCAGGCACACAAAATCCATGACAGTATTCCTGCCCTCTGCCAGGTCCCACAGGCACAGCTTAAGGTCCCGCCCCTGACTTTCAAAATCAACAGGAGACAGGCTGTGAGCCTCTAGGTGTCTGGATCCCCATCCCACATGGATGAACTTCAGCATGCCTGTGGCTAGCCTAAGGCCAAAGGCAGGCAGAGGACACTTTCAAGCAGAGTGCACGCATCAGATCACAAGCGAGAACACTTCAGCCGAGGGGTTTGCTGCCCTGGGGTCCACACAAGTCTGCATCTCAGATGCCTGATACGCTCGCAGGCCATGCATGAGCCCTCTAGCACACCCTGGAACACAACTGCCATGGTCTTTCTGCTGTTCCCCTGATGCCAAAGTGCTGTCCTCTCTCCCTCCCTCCTTTGTGAATTAACTTCGCCAAGCTGGCAATCCCATCCTCAAATATATTCCCAAGTGAATTTAAAACCCACGTCCATATAAACACCTGTACATGACTGTTTACTGGAGCTCTATTCACAATGCTTTCAGAAGCATTTCACAAGAGAATGGGTAACTGATCTGAACATTCCCGTCATGTCATGCCACTCGGCAACTTGTACTGCAGCACAGGCAACAGCCACAGGAGTCTTAGGTGTATTCTGCTAAGTGAAGGTGGTTGGATCCCCATGCCTCCATTCAAAAGATACTCTAGGAGAACATGACTACAGGAAAGAAAGAGTGCAAGGTTCCGCTGTGGTGTGATGGCACAGAAGCTTTGTAGGCTGCTTACTGCCTTGTATGGCTCGGGGCTGGCACACATGTGACCACGGCATCAAACCTACAGAACTACACTATAGAGTGAATTTTACTGCATGTTCATTAACGTAATAAACAATCAGGATGTCAGGACTGCAGGAAGGACTGCAGACTTCAACAAATGTGTGGCTTACTGTACCCAAGAGGAAGAGTTTTCTGGTCTCCTCTATCCCCTCTGGTCTATGCTCCCTTCTCTTTCTTTGGGTTTTCCTGAGTTCCACCTTGGGAAAGAGGACTGGCCATGAGTTTTCTAGAATGTCTTCCATGGAGCTGACCTGAGGGATTCTGGAAGAATCCAGATACTACACTACTACATTAGACATTACAAGACTGAGCAAAATAACAGTACAGAAATACAGAGCTCTGTGGTAAATCTATTTCTCACCGGGTATGTTAGACAAAAAATTAATTGGTGGGTTGAGAGGGACAGGTTTTTTCCCTGTCACAGAGAACAAAGAAGCCCAGGGAAGGTGAGGACAGTCCCTGGGCTATTGGACTCCAATCAGAAATGTTGGTATGAATGTATGTTTATGCAAATATATACAGACAGACAGACAAAGAGGGGCACAGAAGATGTGGTGTGGCTCATGCACATGGATGCTCCTCAGGCAGCCCCTCACCTATAAAAGAACCTGAAACAATAATACCACAGCAGTGACAAGTATGCAGAGCACCGAGGTCTAGTTCTTATCCCCTTCTCTAAAAATAGGGACCAGGTTTCTGGAGAAACACCTACATCTTTGGCTGGAGGGAACAAGGGGAGAACCAAAATGAGTTCTGAGCATCTTGTAGTGTCAGAAAGGGGGGAAGTACTTTTTTTTA